CTCTATGATGTTCCATACAAATTTTCACCTTCTCAATCCACTTCTGAGTTGTCTCTTGGTATTCGTGAATAGGTATTGATTTAAGTCTCTTGGTTATTGCTTTGGCTAAACTTGTATTATCTGGATACGTATCAGGATTACAATACACACAACCGAGCAATCAAAATTCTGAAGGATTAAGGGCAAGTGACTACAGTAGATAAGCCATAAATTTGGTTTTCTTTCTTGAGTATAACTAAGATTAAAATTAATATCCTGCATACGCATTTTTGCATGGTTTGCCCATAAGCAGTAATTAATTCATCATGAATTTGTGTAGTAGTTAAACCTAATAAGAAACAAGTTTTTATATATGACCGTAAACACAGTTTATCCATCTGAAAACAGAAGTGTTCAAAACATTGGTTAAAAATTTGCCACAATAGACACTTGTGAAGCTTCGTTTTAATATTTTAATACATAACATATGTCGCTACTAGAAGAGACCAACATTAGTATGAAACCAATTTGGATGAAGTTTTAGACAACTGTTGTCAAAACTCTTTGACTACCCTATGTATTTATTCTAATAAAAATTCGGTTTTATAGAGAATAAATAGAAAAACGAAATTTAATTTTTTGCATCGTCATCAAAGAAGTCATAGATGTGACACAGGTAATAGACGATGATTTTCGCTTATTCATAGACGTAATTATTTTCATTTCTGCATATTCACTATAGTAAATATATTAGTCTAAACTCACTTCATGTTCAAATATGAGACATAAAGTTCTGAGGTGGACATCTTTTCAAAGATAAGGAACAATTGCTTGGTCATTGTGATAGAAGGGACGACGACGACGATTGTAATCGTAACTAACCGATTCATGTAAGCTACAAATCCTATTTTCTTGTTTATCGCGATAACAATATTTGATTAGAGCAGAAGCAAAAAGAATGCAAAGTTGTTCTATGTTGATCTGATTTATTTGCTTAACATCAAATCATTAAAGAAAAACATCATCATTAAATTGCAAAATAAAATTCTTTATAAAACCATTCGATGAATTAAAAACTACATCCTGATACATAAGAATGTATAGTAGTTTTCGAAACGGATCTTTTAATGTCAAATACGCTAATAATAACATTGAAATACTATTCATTACTGATGTTCACTGTATGATACTCTAAAATATAAAATGGAATCGAGCTCCGTCTACGATTTTGTCTTATTCAGTGATTCAGAAGCTGCAATTAGCTAGTAAATACTTTGAAAAAAGAAAACGAATGATTATAATGAAATGCACATATTAAGAATCAGTTTTGAAAAATGCATACCAAGCTACCCTCGTTAGATGAATTAACAAATGCATCATAAACACTTCTCTATTATTGATATTTTTTCATATAGGATTGAAGAGTTGATCCTTCTGAGTTTCGTGACATCAATCCACAGTGCTTCTTGTTGATAAAGAGTAACAACATCTGAAAAATGAAACTATACAGTCTTAGATTTTGATCGATATATTCACTATAATACTGTAACGGCTATAAGGAAACTTATTTTTCAACTGACTGGAAGGCGAAATATTATTATTAAATTATTTTATCGAGTGAAAAAAGAATTATTTAGACGAAAATCAATATGACGTTGGTAACATTTGTAATACTTGTAGAGATTCAATCAAATATCTCTTTTTACCTATCGAAATAGGAGTAACGTCAGTATACGGAATACTTATTTGGCAATGTTTGTTCTGTGTCTGCGAAGTAAGAAAACAAGACTTTTCATAATTCAAAATAAAATCAATACTACGAATCACTATTTGATAGGACTGTTTTCGGTACTCAAATGATCTTTAAGTCACTATTTTGCCTAAATCAACAATACCAAAATCAATACAGAAATAATTTCTTCTCTCGATATGAAATAAAGAAAAACATTACAATTCGTATTTATACCGCGTTGTTTGAGCATTTACTGCAACAGGTTTCACAGTCGTCAGTAACAAAAAAGACTATCATGATGCTTTTGCTCGTTATTGCCATTTTCTTGTGTCCAATTCCCATTATTCAAGGTAAGCAACAATATAGTGATTGCTTATCCGAGTCGAAAATTTTCTTTAACAGGTCAAACATTAAAATATTCATCGAGTTGCTCAGTTGATCTTTGCAACAATGTGGTTTCAGGAAGTGGTAGTTGTTCTTCATCACCAATTTGCTATAAATTCAAGACATCGATTAATACGACATTATGTGCTCCTCAAGTGATTTGTTCTTTATTTGATACATGTACAAGTGGTTCAAAATGTGCATCAAATAATAGTGTTTGTGTTATGAATAGTTGTTGTTCGGTGTCGATCTGTATGCCATTATCTCTTTCGAGTCAATGCAATTCACAGAACTCTACCAATTCAGGTAGACTTCCTCCTGAAGAAGGTCTTGTACGAATGATTGCTTAATGAATTTGTATCAAGATTAGATATTGTTTCTCTGCCTGCAATTCACTCATTTCGATTATTTGTTGACCGACTGTGCACAGTATTAAGAAATACTGACACAATATAGGTTGAACCAGTACTATTTGCATCATTAAGTATTTTGCAGCTTTGTATGAAGTCAGAGAGAAGTTATGGATTTAGATTCAAATTTTAATTTGTAGACTACATGTTTTCATTCAAAAACAAATGTGTGGAAGTAACTCTTTTATCTTTCAGGTGAAATTAGTCAGATTAGATATGTAGAATACGATGCTGTTATAAGGATCTTCATCTGATACTCAGCTTAAGAACAAATAATATGTAAAATTTTCCTCAATTGAAAAGAACACTTGTTAGAAGTTAAATACATGATTATGAAAAAACCTTAGCATTGTGTTTTTTTCTACTTCAAATAGTTTCTACATCAACTCCAATATGTTCAAATGCTACATGGGATCAGAATGCATCACTCATCATATCTTCATATTCGAATAGTAGTTATCAATTTTCAGTAAATGATTTTGCTATCGATAACAATGATAATATTTACGTGGCTGAGTCCTACAATAAACAAATATTCAAGTTTGCTCCAAACAATTTCACTGGAACGCCCGTCGCAGGTCCTGGAAACTCTTCAAATTTCACTATAAATTTGCTATATGTAGACTCAAATGGAGCAATCTATACATATGAGAGTCGAGTATGTTAACTTTTTCATCTGTTTTTGTTGATAGCTACGTCTGAGCTTGCAATTCATTTTGTACGTAGAGTGACTATATGATGGGATACGCTAACTATTATCGTCTTCAGAAGTATGATTCAAGTAATTGGGTTAGTGGTACTACTATCTTTGGAGAAACTGCATGTGGTACAGGTCTAAATCAGTTTTGTGGATGTGTAGATATTTTTGTTGATCGACAAGGTGCCATGTATTGTTCTGATTCCAACCTACAACGCGTGATCAAAATTACACCGAATAATCAATATGCTACTGTCGTTGCAGGTGTTACGAATACATCAGGATCACAGTTGAGCCAATTGAATAATCCTCAAGGAATATTCGTCGATGCAAACTATACTTTATATGTTGCAGATGTAGGTAATAGGTAAGGTATCTTAATTTATACTATGCAGAAAAGCGATATCGAATTGTTTCTTAGAAGCAAGTAATAGTTTTCAAAGATATGTCTAAAAAAATGACTTGATATATGTACTCTAATTGATTTACACTTTAGTTCTGCTCATTGAGAAAAATCTCGTTTGCAATGATATCCAAAATGGTTCTAATTGGATAATTATCTCTGCAGAAAATTTCCTGAGAGCAGAAGTTTGGAAGGATCATACAAGGGGTTATGCCGAATAATAATTCCTCAAAGAATATTTCTGAAGATCTCTTGTTTTGGCATTAAAGATCTTGAGCACAGGTTGTTTTCATTCAGAGAATATGATTGAAATCTTATGTATCACACTAATGAAGCCTTTTCTTTAATAACAGCAGCATATTAGTATCTGAGGATTGGTTTTTGATCTTCGAAAGATTTATCATCTGTCCTTTAGTCGTATCTTGGCATTTTCACAAGGAAATCAGTATGGTAGATATTTATTCTATCATGCACCTCTTATGTCTTGGTGGGGTAGTATCGGTTTGACTCTCGACAATTCAGGCAATATATACGTATCTGGTAACAATAATATTACTCGATGGACATCTAGCACGTCTACCCTTACATCAATCGTACCAGGTATTTATTATTATTATTATGCCTTGAGAATACGGCTCGATAGTAAAGGCAATTTTTATGCACGATTGTATATGAATAGTGGTATAGTTAAATATAATATTACCTCCAATACGTGTTAAAATAATAGAACTATTTTTGTATTCTTTCATTTATTATTAATAAAGTGCTCTTTAAGAAATTCTTTTAAAGGGAAAAGTATGTTACACATAAAAATGACGAATACTTGAATATCAAGGGTGTGGGTGTGGGTGGGTGTGGGTGTGGATGGGTGTGTGGGTGTGGGTGTCGGTGGGTGTGTGGGTGTGGATGTGGATGTAAGTTAAGTCAACAACTATACCCACACCCCACACCCCACACGTCCACCCACACCCACACCCACCTACACCCACCCACACCCATACCCACCCACACCCACACCCGCACCCACACCCTGTTTACTAGAAACAGACAACTTGTCTTTTTCTTCTTTGAACCCATTTCGATTTCATTGGTTGATAATCTTTATGAGCGAAAAGTGAATACAAAGAAGAAATACTTCTCAGAAGTATTGATTCACTCGTTCATTGAATAAAGAGAAAATACAAATTAGCTAGTGTATCTTACTAAATTCAATTGATGTAAGTGATATAGTATTCATTAATATCAACCAATATTTTCATTTTTATGAAATATAACTATTAATAAAAACATTCGAAACAATAAAATCTATTTTTGTGTTCAAATTATTCGAATTTATCAACAAAAAAGAAATTGAATGTGGTTTAATTTTATTAAGAAAATTAAAAAAAAGTAAAATTAAAAATGATCTTGACAAGAACATAAACCATTCATATGAAAATGATGAATACGATTGGCATCACGTATTATTATTTGACATTGTCGAATTTTAGCAATTAGTTTCGTTGCACTATCTAATTAAATAAAAATTCATAATTAAAGAAAATATGAAAATATTTATTTTTTTATCATACGACAATCTCCACAGACACGAAGATTTTTTGTAATTTGAATTAATGATGGTTGACGATGTTGAATAAAATTAAATGCGATAGCAAGTTTTTCACTATGACCACACAATACTGATTCAATTGTTTCACCATATTCAAGTGGACGAGTAATCCAACTTGAATCATATTCATGACCATATTCTTTTAGTTCATTTGATAGACGATTAAGTTCAGCATAAATTTCATCTGATTGAGGATGAGAACGATCATGAGCTTTGAATCCCTTATATAGACAAAGCAAAAAATTTTCATCATTAACAAGCAAAAAGAAAAACTTTACCACAAGTTGACCATTAACTTCTGTCCATGAGAATGCAGCTTTAACTTTGTTACCGAATTCTTTGATTCGATTTTCTCGTATTTCTTGAACTAGTTTATCATCTCCTAATGATGCATAAATATTAGATAAGAGAATCGAAGCAGAAATCATATCGGATTTTTTATCAGGAAATAAATATTTCATTCGATCGTACAATTTTTGTGAAAGAGCAACATGACGATGATTACGAGCACCTGATAACATCGCTGCTACAAGTAAAAAAACAGAAACAACGTCAGATGTAACTCAAGAAAAAATAATCTTATTAATTTAATCTATTGTTTATATTATCTTACTATACATAATTAAAGAAGGTAAATTTGATTTTTCATAATCATTAATTATTTGTTGTGCTTCATCAAACATTCCCACACGACTAAGACAATCGACCTAGATTATTGACAAAAGAAAAAAAAAGATTTTGTTTTAATAATATACATATATATGATTGATTATTCAAAGTCAATAAACAAACCATCGTAACAACAATATCTTCTGTTTTCGTATCAATTTTATTGAATATTAT